GGAAAAGATACATTCTTATGACAAGTATGTAACCTTCAAGAGTCTTATTAAGTAGCAAATACCTTTCTGTGTAGTTAGCAACCCCCTTTTATTCCTTTGGTGGTGTTATACTTATTTAGAAAAAGCAGAAATAGGTAGGAGAATAAAGCTGATACTTGCTCATATCACACCAAGATGGAGAGAGATGAAAATTTCCGTAGAGTAATAGTCACCCCTCCCCTGTAGCAGCTGGGGTTATTCTGGCTCAGAATTCCTTTAATAGCACTGGGTTTGGTTTTTGCTTGGTCTGCCCTCTTCTAACCTCCCAACAGACATTTGTTAGGAGGTTAGAATAATAATAAGAATGATCTATCCAAGAATTGTGTGGGCCAACAAGATGACCAACAGATTTTATGAACCCACAGGTACATGAAATCTGTGAACACCCGAGTTCCCTGAATATATGTCCCTCACCACTTCACCTTTCAATCTAGGGGTTGGGAAACCTGAGAGATTTCTTCTGACTCATGCTTCTTCTCTCTCTGTGGTAGCTACTTCATGAGGCTCTCCCAAGACTGTCTTCTTTAGAAAACACTTCTCTTCAATTGCCCTTGCCACAACCAGAGAAAATTACTAACAAGTACCCTCTCTGGTTCTGGCATCCGATGTGGATTTACACCACAAGTACTCGACTACCTCCTGAGTGGTGCAAATGGCTAAGTGCTAGACTACTCTATGGTTGGCTGTTTGGAGTTCACAAAGTGATGCCTCAGAAGAAAGGCTTGGTGAATTTTGGGGTGAAGGGGAGAGGGGTTCCCCACAAATCATCACAGGTCCGGTAGGCATAATTGTACAGTGATAATAAGTAAGGACTATAGTAAAGTCATAGAGAGCATGAGAGTTAGAGGAGAGATTGGAATAAACGGAGTCAGACACAAATCATGGTAGCATTGCTCACCTCAGCCCCGTCTTGATGGTCCTCGTGCGGCGAACCTGGCCACAAGAGCAGAAGCAGCCTCAGGGACCAAGAACTGGGGAGCCTCTCCTGGCCCGAGAACCAGAGAGGGCCCTGGGAATCGGGGAGAGCCTGTACTTTTTTTTGCCAACCACGCATTATATAACTTTAGGGGGACATGATTACAGGTAACCACACGTCACAGGAAGGGGCAGTACAATAGGCATACACATTGTAGGAAGGGGATCTATGATAGGCATAAGCGTAACAGGAAGGGGATGAGCTAGGGGTGTGCCCATAGGAATGGGAAGGTCTAGGGGTATACATGTGACAAAATGGGCGGACCCTAGATTCATGATGGCAGCCTAATCTTGGTCATCCTTGGGCGGGCTTGACCTCTCTGGTGTCTCCTACAAGGAGAAACAGACAACTACTATCCTTATCAGAAGGGAGTGGGCCCTACTTGTTGTGAGATAAACAGTGGTGTCTGCTTGGTCTAGACAGCTGATAGCTCTCAGGGAGAATGACCCCCAGTCCACTCCTGATGACCTCCAAGTGTACAGTCATTCTCAAGCAGCTCAGTCTGGCATATATTTGGGGGAGACAACTTGAGAGACGTCCTTCTGTTTCCCACAGCGACTTATATCTGCAAGATCACAAACACCAAAAACCTTGTGGAGTACAGTTATACTCTGAAACACACGAGTTGGGCATGAATCAGAATTAACTCGGTGGCAACTGTCTTGAAATTGGTTTTGAAAGTTAAATTTACTATGTGCTAGACCAGACTCAAAAACTCGCACTGCCATTGAGTCAATTCTGACTCACAGTGACCCTATGGGACAGGGTAGAACTGCCTGGTGGGTTTCTGAGACTAGCTCTTTATGGGAGTAGAAAGTCTCATCTTTCTCCCTTGGAGGAGCTGATCGTTTGAAACCTCTTACCTTGTGGCTAGGAGTCTGGCGTGTACCCACTATACTGCCAGGCCTCCTCTGGGCTAGACCATAAACCGAAAACCAAACTCAACTGCCATCGAGTCGATGCCGACTCATCGTGAACCTACAGAACAGGGTAGAACTACCTCATGTGAGTTTCAGAGACGTGTTTTTCCCCGTGTTTTTCCTGTGGAGCGCTTGGTTGTTTGGAACTGCAAATCTAGCAGATTGCAGCTCGACGCACAACCACAACACTGTGAGGACTCGTGTGTTAGATTATAGGGTTATATTACAGGCTTCATAAATGAATGAAATAGAGGTCATGCCTGGAAAGAGGCAGGTACCCTTGGAAGGCACAAATAAGTAAGCTAGCATCAACAATGCCATGTGAGAAAATTTGAAGTGTCTTAAGGAACGAGGCAGGAGAGGCAGTGGTTTGTCTCGGTATCTTTCAGTTGAGCTCTCGCCCCCTGTGCTACCAGGGCACCTTTTCTGTACCCTTGCTTCGTACAGACTTGTCGAGTGGAAGGAGTTAAGACAGGCTTTTGTTTGTACTAGTTGATGATGTGAAACAGCTGGCAAGAGCAGAAACTTGGCTAGCTCTGGGTCAGAACCAGGGAGTTTCTGAGCAGAAGTTCAAATGCCTTGTACTTTGAGCTCCTGAGTACTGTGTGGACAGTACTTATAAATAGGCTGTAATGTTGAGTTACAAAGAGAGTACTAATAGTGCCAGCTGTAAGAACAGCTGCCACCTCTCCAGCCCTCCCCAACAGCCAGGTTGCATTGTTTTACACATGGAGACAACCATGCTCAGGGCCTCGCAGATAGCAAAGACTGCAGAAATGGAATTGGTCCAGTTCCTGAGGCAGACATCCTGTCTGGTCCCCTGGTAGATGAGGGGTGGGGTTGGGGTGTGTGTGTGCTCCAAGGGGGGTGGGGCCAGAGTGAACCAGCTCCTACCCAGACTCAGTACTACAGATGTGAAGGTGAACACCGTGCCCCGTGGGGCTGGCAGCGAGTCATTCCTCGTCCCCTCACAGGATGGACCTGGCTGTTTACGCTGAGCTGTTGAAAGAATCTGGCAACCAGGGTTTTAAGAATGGAAACTTCTCTTTGGCCATCAGAAAGTATGATGAAGCCATCCAGATTCTCCTGCAGTTATACGAGTGGGGGTAAGTGTCTGGATTTCCACCCCAGCATGCTTCTTCTCAGCCACTGGGGGCACTGCTTGTGTTTTTGTTTCTTATCACGCGGGGCCTTGCTTGTGTCTGTGTTCTCCCGCTCACTGGCTGTTTATCTTCACTGTTTTGTGAGCCCAGACAGAGGAGAAGAATATCCCTGTACGAAGGGAACAGAAAGTGAAACACAGAGCACTGTTGATAAACACAGTGAAACTTCCCTCTCTAGCTGATTAAGGGACTGGAGCCCTAGCAGTGGCTCAAGCTCTCAAACCTCCTTGCTATGCTCCATCTCATCATCTTGACAACCCATGCCACTCATCCCCCTGCCCATAGGGCTACATCACCTGAGCAGTAAAGGTCACCCTTTCTCTTGACCTTTCAGGTTTTAGTAGAGTTGGTGTTTAGTGTTTTTTGGACCCTTATACACTGTTAGAAATTATTGAGGACCCTGAAGAGCTTGGTTTTATAGCTATTTGGTTATAGCTATCAGTGGGCATAGTCCATATTGGGACTTAAAATGGAGAAAACATTAATTAAAATATGTATTAATTTATTTCAAAATATCAGTAATTCCATTCTTTGTAAAAAGTAACACATTTAAAAAAATAAAATAGGAAAACAACTCTTACCTCCCAAGACAAAAACATTTAGTGAAAGTAGTGACATTATTTTCCTTTTTAAAAAAATCTCTCTCATTCATGTGTTTTCAGTAAAAGACAGACATCGGCTTTTCACATCTGCTTCTGTGCTCAATCTTTTGTGACAGTCACATGCTGGGTAGTCTCTGGGAAACATCCTTGTACACATGTGCGGGAATGAGCACGCAGGAGGCATATGGTGTGTGAGCATGGTTTTTGCATGAGCCCCCCGTTGCCCTTGTAACAGCTGAGCATGTATTCAGTGGTTTGAACAGTACATGTTTTCTATTTTGCAGTCTGGAGGTCAGAAATCTGAGATCAGTTTTGAGCAAAAGTCACACAAAAAAAATCACAAGGCTGGGCTGCTTTAGGAGGCTTTGGGGAGGGCCAGTGCCTTTCTCTGCTCTTGTCAGTTTCCGGTGGCTGCTTGTATTCCTTGGCTTGTGACCCCTCCTTCCATCTTCTGAGTGCATGCCTCACGTCTGCTTCCATCATCACATTGCCGCCTGTGCTTCGTATCTCCCTTTGCCTCCTCATTATCAGGACACTTGTGATTGCATCATAATGTACGTTAATCTCTTCATCTCAGTACCTTTAATCAAACAAAAGTTCCATTTGCTATAAAAAGCAATATTCAAAGCTTCTGGGAATTAGAGTGTGGACATAATCCAGGGACATCATTCAGCCAATCACAATGGTAAAGATCATTTTGACCTTTTGGATGACCTAAAATGGTTTTGGAGACCTTCTCAGGAGCCTCCAGATCACATTTAGAGAACTGCTGTAGTCGAAGAAGCGGAAGATGTCATCTGTGCCGTATGTATAGCTTGCACTGTACTGAGAAATTGCCCCTAATGAAATGACTGAAACTTGGCTCCCACCTCCCACCTCCTACCACATCTTGATGTCTACAGTTTAGTTGAATATAAGTTGCATGTGGGTTACTGTCTTGGGCCAGTAGTTCTTTTATTCTCCTTGCTTCTGGTACATTCACTTCAGAACTGTGTTTCAGATGTACTAGACCTTAGGGGCATTGGCTTTGAGAGAAGCAAGACACAGAAACCATAATTAGAGTGATTTTTACTTTATTTTATTTTTGTGCTTATTTGCCATTGCCTGATTATTCTAGAAGGAGCCCTGGTGGTATAGTGGTTACTAATTGGGCTGCTAACCACAAGGTCAGCAGGTCAAAACCACCAGGCACCTGCTCAGTGGGAGAAAGATGAGGCTTTTTACTCCCATAAAGATGTATAGCCTTGAAAACCCTCAGGGGCATGGTTTTACCCTGTCCTATCGGTTACTGTGCGTCGGAGTCGACTCAATGGCGTGAGTTTGGTTTTTTTGTTTTTGTTTAAATTGTTTTAGAGCAGTTTGCATTATTTTCATAATTAGAATAGAACTTGTGGGCCTTGTTTTTTCCCTTGTGACTTCCGGTGCCATATTATTTATTTTGCATTGTCCTTTTCCCAGTCCAGTCTCACCACTCATTTTGCCCTGGACTCTGGGTTTAAAGGCCCTACATGGCCTTTCCAAGCTGTGGCTCTCGCCATCGCGAGGAATCTATGGGCCATCCATCCTGAGGCCTTGCCGTTTCTTGGTCCAGGCGATGGGTAACAGAATCATGGACTTCCCTGTCTCTGGGTCCCACTTCCAGGGCCTGCACAGGCCGCTTACCCACGGCCTGTTCTCAGGAGTGACCAAGGTTAGAGGGGTGACAGAACTCAGTATTGCACCTCTTTCAGTGTTGGATGGAGTCTGAGGTTCAAAGAGAGGTTTTAGTTGTCGTAATAGTAAGAGGTCAGAACATATTTTATTGGACAGTTTTTAATCTTGATTTATGGCCTTCAAATATATAGACTAGCACTGTCCAATAGGGCTTTCTATAGTATAGGATGTGGTTACAAAGCACTTAAAGTATAACTAACTAATACAATGAAGGTAGTGCATTTTTAACCTTATCTAATTTTCATTAAAAGTTAAATAGTTACAGGTGGCTAACAGGTACTAGATTAAACAGGGCAGGGCATCCATTTTCTGGCTTGGGTTCTGCAAATGTTTGTGTGGGCCTGCTTATATACTAGAACAGTGCTTGCCCTGGACCTCTCGCTGTAGAGTGGCGTGGAGTGGTGTGATCTGTGTTCTAAAAGAGCACCAGGCCTTTCCTACGATGAACTCTGCATCTACTCCGCATGAACATGCATGTGCAGCAGTGGTTCACCCAGCGTCTGGACTCTCCTGGGGCTCAGGGAGAACTCCTCACTGGTCACCATGGTAGCACCATTTTGTCCAATGATCACTAAAAAAATAAAGAAAAAGGTCCGTGGGAGGTAGAAGGGAGGAATGGTGAACATTTGTCATTAAAAGGTGGGAGTGGAGGAGTTAGGAGTGAGCAAGGGTATATTCAGACATTGCAAATATCCCAGGCTTTCCAGAGGCCTGCTTGGGCTGCATTTGAGAGGCAACCTTGAGAACTGGACTGCAGCCCCCCTCCTGGATGATGACAGCAGCCAGCGTTAGAAGGGCCATCTTCAAAGCTTGTGTTCTGCATTTGCTGAAGCACTATTGTTACAGGTCTCCTGTTCTTTCTCACAGGGTCCCCCCGAGGGATCTGGCTGTGCTGTTGTGCAACAAGTCCAATGCATATTACAGCCTTGGGAAATGGAATGAAGCATTTCTCTCTGCCAAGGAATGTCTCCATTGGGATCCAACCTATGTGAAGGTATGGTGTAGTGGCGGAGGGTGGGATTCTACCTACTGCTTACTTAGCATTGCTTTGAGGATTCAGGAGGTATTCAGTAAAGCTGTTGGCACTCAGAACATGGGAATTCTTATCATCATCATGGCCATAGTCATCAAACGCATGGAGGCAGGACCCATCTCTGCTTTGTGGCCATTGTTCGTTGCTGTCTAGTTGAGTCTATGTGTGCGAAGTCAAACTGCTCCCCAGTATTTTCAGGGCTGTGGCCTTTTGGAAGCAGATTGCCAGGCTTTGTTGTAGCAGAGCCTCTGAAGGGTTGGATCTGCCAACCTCTTAGATGATAGTCTAGTGTTTAACCATTTGCCCCACCTGGTGACCCCCAGATGTTTTTAGTGGTTTATAGTCTGTTCAGGAGGGCCAGAAACAAAACAAAATGGGAAGGGCCGGGGAGGACCCTGAGTGATTTGGAGATTTAGTAAAATATCCAAATCCTTTGGGGTTGGAGTGCTCTGTTGTATACCTCCATCCCTTTCCTGCCCATTACAAGGAGAGTCCCTGGGTGGCGTGAATGGTCAGTTTTTTGACTACTCCCTGAAAGGTTGGCAGTTCTCATCCACTCAGTTGCGCCTCCCAAGAAAGGCCTGGTGATCTGCTTCCAAAAGGTTACAGCTGTGAAAACCCCAAGGAGCTGTTCCACCCTGCACAGGTAGGGTTTGGCAGGAGTTAGGAGTTAGAATGGATTCAATGTCGACTAACAACAACATGACAAACAGGCATTGTCTTGTTGGACCTCTTCTGTTGGAGGATGGGTGCTTTGGAAGTTACTGATAAGCTTTGAAAATGGAAATGTGTTGCAAAGGGGTTATCTCCAGGGAGTGTTAACGATTTTCCCATGCTTCTCTCTTGGATACAGGTTGGGTGAGTATTTGAAGTCTGCCCATTCCCACGGGCCGAGATTGTAGCTGTGGGCCAAGCACTGAGGAGGTCTTGGACGAAGCTTCCAGGGTCTTCCTGAGTGACTCTGACAGCACCACAACTGGGGCTACTCCTCAGCTAGTACTCAGAACTTCTGGGTGTCCTTTGTCTCCAGAAGCATTTTTCCCAGATAAAAGATGAGATAAATCTGAGAAAACAAAAAATTTGGGAGATTGTGACCCAACTTTTCTGGTTGGGAAAAAAACACAACAACTCAGAAAACAGAGAAAACAACATTCTTTCCTGCTTTCTGATTGTTATTTGAGGCTTCAGACCATCAAAGAATCATGAAAGCAATGCAAAGATTCGCTAGAGACCCGGTAGTAAGTGGAATATTTAAGTTCTTGTTTTTTCATGAACCCTGTTAGTAGTCACCATTTGTTACCATAGAAATGGAGAATTGTTTTGGTAGATCTTTGATACTGATTCACCTGGTCAAAGCAGGCAAGGAAATAGCATCCAATTCCGTCTGGAGAATCCTGTGATTCATCTGCAAAATACCTCCTTTCCTCTATCGATCATTGAAATTTTACATGATTCTTCCTCTAGAGGACATTTTTATTTTTTTGCCTCTGGTGCATATGACCTATACTATGGAGCTCAGTAAATCTCAATGGTTGTCATAGTTTTTTCCTACTTACCCAGTGGAAATTGGGTTTGCTTTGATTGTACAGAGCAGAAAACAGCTTTTGTGTTTGCATGACATGCTCATTCTTTTCTCAAACCCCGAGCTCATAGGATTTTCCATACCTCTGCTCCTGCACAGGCTGTGATTTGAGGCATAGATAATACACCACATGTGTCAGTGGAAATGGCGATGCTTCCTTCTCTGTATACCACATGTAAGAGACTGTGCAGGTCATGGATTTGAAATAGATTCTTTTCCAGGCAGCTGAAAAATCGTAGGAACAGTGTGACACAGATTAGAATGTGCAAATCCCGAGTTGGTTAGAACTCCATGTCTGCATAGAGATGGATTTCCCCATGTCATCCATCTTGCCTTTTCTTTCAGCAGCAGGTTAGAAGATATCAGATGTTACAGTTTTGCTTTTTTATTTCTTCTTTTCAAAACATTTTATCAGGAGCTAATCCAGATACCATACCATTCCATAGTTCAGTCATATTAATCAGTGTTGTACAAGAGATACCACAATCCGTTTCAAAACATTATCTTCCTTCTTGAACTCCTTGATATCAACCCCCACCCCCTCCACTGCCATACCAGTTATCGTCTCCATAGACTCACCTATCTTGGGTTTCTTATACTGAAAAATATAGGAAAATACTAACAGAGGGTCCCGAAGGCTACCAACAATGACCAAATACAATCGAGATTGACCCCACTATGAAACAAACAAATACAGACAAGCACAGAGTGTATCCAAAGGGAGATCAAATGACAAGGGTTGAACAATTCAAGCCCAGTTTCTCATGCTAATGGTCTGTCGTACAGTGTTGCTTTCCCTCCCCTTCCAGGGATACTACCGAGCTGGTTATGCCTTGCTGGGCATGTTCCAGCCTTATGAAGCCGCTCACATGTTTTTTGAGGGTCTGCGGCTTCTTCAGGACAGCCACGATCAAGGACAGGTTGCTGATTTTCTTGTTGGAGTCTTCTCCACGATGGACAGTAAGTTGGACCTTCAGAAACTGTTTTCTTGTGTGTGTGTGTGTGTGTGTGTGTGTGTGTGCGCGTGCGTGTGTGTTGTCCCTCATTAGTTGAGGTGACTTTCCAGGTGGAGCCAATGGTTGATATGCTTGCTGTTAACTGAAAAGTTGGGACTCCGAGTTCACTTCACAACACCTTGGCAGAAAGGGCATCTGCTTCAAAAAGTCAAAGCCTTGCAGACCCTCCAGGCATGATTCTACTCCATATCACATGGGCTAGCGATGAGTCAGAGTCGACTTGACAGCAGTTGGCTTGACTTTTGCTGGGTTTATTTTATTTGAACGGTTATGGGACTTAGACGCAGACTCCTAGAGAGATAATTTTAGAGTGTTTCTTTGTGGCCAATCTACATAGCTTGAACAACATCGATTTGCACAGGAGAAGGCATTTTGGAACTTCATTGTCCCATGCCTTTGTAAAAATCCCTAAATTCTTCTGCATACACTGCATAAAGCCTTCTTGTTCCTGAACCCATAAGTTTTGGGAGGTTGCTCTTTATGGAGAGTTCCTTATTTCTACCCACACAAAGACCCCATCATCCCAGAGGGTTTCCAAGGTTGTAGTGTTTGACTGAAGCAGACTGTCTCCTCTTTCTCCCATTGACCAATGGGCAGGTTTCAACTGCCAACTGGCAACCTTTTGGCTTGCAGCAGAGTGCTCAAGCACTGCCCCCAGGGCTCCTTCCTACTTATACTGCTTGTTCTGTGTGGGTTTTGCCGTTTCCAGTGATTTTTACATGTATTTCTCTAATGTGTGGAGAAAATACTCTGCTTGTTAGAGCATCGCCTGGAAGGGCAGGTGCAGCGCCCTGGGAGTGTCGTGGCTGTGATGTTACTGTCTGGTGCAGCAGTCTCCGCAGAGCCCCCATGCACTCTGGGAGCATGTGACTCATCGATGCAGTCGATTATGACTATAGTGATCTGTCCGTAAGATGGCTTTGTCTCCATTAGGCAAGGCTTGAAGGGAGAAAGCCCAGTGTAATATACTCCTTGTCAGTGGTTTCTTTGGTTACCTTAGTGCAGTCTGAAATAAATTTGATCCCATTGAAGATCGTGCTGATTTAAGATGCGTCATTTAAGATGCGTCATTCATTTGTGTTCTGCTAGCGAGAGACAGGAGTCATTCACAGGACTTCTTAGAGCAATACATTGAGCTAATTTTATCAGAGCAGCGGGAGAAAGGTCTGGTGATCTGCTCCTGTAAAGATTACAGCCTAGAATAGCCTATGAGGCCAGTTCTACTTTGTCACGTGGGGCTGCTATCCGTTGGATAACTGGACAGCCCCTCCCAACAACAACCCGTTATGAGTGTAAATGTGTACCCACTGTTCAATTTTCAAGTTTTGAGAAATATGTTTATAAATATTTTGTATTTTATCCTACAATAGGTTTGTTTGGATAGTTACTTACTTATTTGGAGACGGACAACCTAGGGAGAGATGCCGTGCTACATTGACACTTGATCCTCCCCCCTTGGACTTTCTCATCCATAAGCTTGAGCAATGTAGCTTGAGGCTCAGGAGATGGAATAGATTAGCACACATCAGACATTATGAGTGTTTTTCTCAGTGCTTGGCATACCGTAAGCTTTCAAAAAACAGTCATTGATATTATTAAGAGCTCTGGGTGTATTATGTCTCACTCACTGCCATCAAGGTGATTCCAATTCATATTGACACTATGGGACATTTGATGGCATTAGTGGTTACTCATGTGCCCCTGTGGGTTTCTGAGACTGGGATAGAAAGCCTCATCTTTCTCATGCAGGGCAGCTGGTGGTTTCGAACTGTTGCTTTGTGGTTAGCAGCCCAATACACAGCCCACTACATCACCAGGGCTCCAGCCCATTATTTATAATCCTCACCCAAAGCAGGAGAGAGTAAGGTTATAAATTGCAACTTAAAACATGCAGCTATGAGTCTCAGAGAAGATGTAATATAGTTCAAAATTAGTCAGTGGAGGATTGGGAGTCAAGGAGATACCCATGTGACACTGAAGTCTCAGCTGTAGCCACTCCAGTGTTCCATTTTGCATGCGCTTGTACTTGGTTCAACTCCTCCAGCCCCACGTAGCAGCTACCTACAGGTTTAGCAAACAAAACAAAATTCAGCCCATTGAGTCCACTCCAACCCACAGTTTCCGAAGCTGTAAATCTTGACAGTGCAGTTGGCTTCATCTTTAAGGGAGCCCTGGTGATGTAGCAGGAGTCCTGGTGGCAGTGTGGCTACTCACTGGGTTGCTAATCACAAGGGCAGCAGTTCAATACTACCAGCTGCTCTGCTGGAGAAAGATGAGGCTTTCTACTTCCATCACGACTTACAGTCTCGGAAGCTAACACGGCAATTCCACGTTGCCCTACAGGTCACTATGAGTCAGAATCGACTCAATGGCAGTGAGTTTGGAGTTTTCTTTTGATGGTATTAGTGGTTACTCTTAGGACTGCCAACTGCAAGGTCAACGGTTTGAAAGCACCAGCTTCTCTGTGGGAGAAAGAGACTTTCTACTCCCATAGAGGCGGGGTGGGGTGGGGGGGTGGGGGGTAGGGAGCAGTTGTACTTTGTCCTATAGAGTTGCTATGAGTTGGAATTAACTTGTTGGCAGTGAGAGTGACTGAGCTTCGTTTTTTCCCCCACAGAGCAGCTCGTGGATTTGGACCACCTGTCCTCGAAATTAGCAGACAATAATGACTCGACAGAGCTACCAGGTACCCCTTAAAGCTACACAGAAACCCTCCAAGTGGCGCAGGCCCACACTAGCTAATGCAGTATAAAGAAGATGATAAAAACAAACATGCTTGATTGACTGAAAGCATTGATAGGTATGACTTCAAGGCAAGGTTTGCCTCTCCTTAGTAGTTATTCTCATTCACTGGATGACAATAATATTTGTCATGTCCTAAAGGAAGTGAATTCTGTAGCTTCTTTTAAGCTTTCACTTCCTTCTTTGTAAATGGGGACAATGGGTACTGGTTTGTTGTCACAAATAGAAACCCCGAATGAATGTTAGTGAACAGTACGCTGCTTAACTCTTAGAGGGTTGGTTTTTATGGGTCACCCATTCATTTGTATAGTTGCTTCTTGAGTCAGTCCTGTAGGACTTTACACTTTGAAAGCACCTGTCTTTCTGCTATCTTTAATTGACCAGTGTCCATGTGTGGTCTTGATTGGACAACCTTTTTCTATAAATGTTTTTCTAGATCATCTGCGCTTTGATGTTTCTAACTGTGAAACTTTCTTTCAGGTGATCCTGTAGATTTGCAAAGTTTATTGCCGTGCTTTGATGATCTTTTCACAGCCGAATTCTCATCCGAAGTGTGGCAATCTGTCATAGAAAAGTTGGCAAAGAAAGGGTTATGGCATGTAAGTAAAAGCAGGAGGCTGTGACGGGCCGAGTTCAGCCTTGAGGAAATGATTTCTTTCCTTGGTCCCTGAGGAGTACCTATCTTTTACTCTTTGTTTATTTTCATGCTAGAATACCTTAACTATTTCACTACAACATCAGTAGAGATGCAAAGTCATTTAACTGTATTAATGCATTTTCATCTGTTTTTAAGGCAGAAAAAGTGTATTCCTGGCATCCTTGTACTATGTCCCTGTTTTTAGGAGATGTAAAGTTCCAATGTGCATGGCAATGTCAAATTAGGAAAAAGAAACAATTGTGTATCTGTTTATTGCTTTAGAATATTTTATTGCATGTCAGGTGAGAACTTACACAGCATATGTGGTTCCTATTCGACGATTTAAGTGCAAATGATTCATGGATGGCGGTTTCATTTTTCACAAAGTGCCTTTCTCATTCACTCTGCTTGAGCTGTACCATCTCCAGTATGTTCATGTCCCTTCCTCTTACCTTCTCATGTTTGCTACAGTGATGTTTGACCATTTAGTTTCCTATATCTGTTGTTTTCCCCCCAACCCCCCAGCAGAAAAGCTTATTACTTAGGGATGATATACTTTCCTATATGATCCAATGTATTATGTAGCCAACAAGTGACCTTAAGGAATAGCTTTATCTTTAAGTTTGAAGGAGTTAGAGTACTCCTAGAGTGTCTCAACTGGTTCGCTAAGTCTGAAGTTTTTAAGAATTTGAGTTCTGTTTGCACATTGATTTTTAGAATCTTTTTAGTTCTGCATTAGCTAGTGTGGGCCTGGGCTATGCTGGTTAGAGAGTTTCTGTGTGGCTTTATGGGACTTCTGGCCTGTGTGTGGTAGCAGCTAAGTGAGGTCATAGGACTTGAACTAGGTCTAGGAACTTGGTTCATGGAAAAGGGAAGAGCCATGTGGACAGAACCAAGGCTTCAGTGTCACATGGATGTCTCCTTGACTCCTAATCCTTCACCCACTCCTTTGGGCTAATTATGACCTCTCTGAAGCTCATTTCTGTATTTGTGAGTTGCAAGTTATGAGCCCACTCTCTTGTGCTTCAGGATTTGAAATAATTCACCCTTCCAAACTCAAACCAAACTCACTGCCTTAGAGTATATTCTGATGTATAGAGAATTTTATTACTCCAATTTTGTCTTTTTTTTCTCTCCTCCCATCAGTCATTGCTACTTCTGTCTGCGAGAAAAGACAGGCTACCAACTAATATTCTTGTTCATGACCTATCACTGAAAAGTCTTTTTGAGGTAAGGTGACTTTGTTATGTAAGTTTTCGTGTCAGGCCATCTCAACCTTGTATTTGGGGACTTTTTCAGCCCCCTCACCACAGATGTTTTATTTCTATCTTCAGCTAACTTAGGTTTTATTGATTCCAAACTTTATGGCTGAAAGAGTTTGGAATTTCATATTGATATAGAGACTGCCATAATTTTTCCTGAATTTTCTTTTTATTTCAAGAAATATGTCATCATTGGACTTTATGATCATATGGATCAGGTGCCCCGGTTAGTCCAGTGGCTCATCTCCATTGGTGCACCTATTGAGAGCATTGGACCCTACCCTCTTCATGCGCTCATTCGACTCTGTATCCAAGCAAGTGAGTATCCTTCCAGTTCCATGCCCTCCAAGCTTCTTCTCCACATAGGGCACTCTGCCGAGCTCAGAGGAAGCCAACATGTAGTGACTCGAGTAATTTGAAGACAAGAAGCTGAGAAATGGCACCATTTTCTTTTTCTCGAGAACAATAGTGATAGGACACCCCACATGAAAGGGTTTCATGTTCCTGGCAGCAAGGTGGAGCCTTGGGCCCAAGGAAAGGACTTGTGATAGACCCTCTTGCCCAGGAGAGCTCCCAGGAGGACTGTGGACATTCTTTCCCATGCTGCTTCATCAGTTTCATTTTCTCTCCCACCTAGAAAGCCAACAACTGTGTTTTGGGGTAATGGCCAGGGGAACCCCAAGGAAAGCACAGGCTGTTGATGGTATTTTTTGGCTGCTGTTCTTTCAAAGCAGTGCTATATTTTAGAGAACTCTTCCTTTAGAACCTCCCCACCTAACTTTTAGGATTTACATTGAAAAAAATTTTTTAAAAAGTTTTTATTAAATTACCTATCTGACCTAGCATTTTAGATCAGTGGTTCTCAAGCTTCCTAATGCCACGACCCTAAAAGTCTTGCTTCCTTGCCTCCAGGTGGGACCAGCTCTGTGGAGCAATTTATTCTCCAGTGCTCCCCAGGAGTGGATTCCAGCTGAGACCACGTGGTTGCTGAGCTGTAGCCCTGCCTCTTTCCCCACTTTTTTTCTCCTGAGATCTCTGTCTCTCTCTCAAAACGTCACTGGCACAAGAACCCCTGTGTTAGACTCTGCATCTAGGCAACATGACCTGTTCCAGGTGACTTTCCATTTTCCCCAGGCCCGTGTCTCCCCACACCTACTTGCGGGGAGTAGAAAAGTGGTGTAGATTGCACGGTTGGTTCCTGTAGTGTGGTTCGCATTGACAGTCCTTTGCTGATGGCATGTAGAAAACTACCTTGGAAACTTCCTTCCTTCGTTTCCCTTCAGGAGAAAACCAATTTTTCCGATGGGTACTGGACCGCAAGCCGGAGTGGAAAGGCCGCATCAACCAGAAGGATGAAGATGGCTGCACAGTCCTGCACGTGGTTGCGTCCCACTCCCCAGGATACCTCATCAAACGTAAGCACCAAGTGTGGGCCGGCTTATCCTAGACAATATAAAACCCACATAAGTACCCACTTCCACCCTGGGACAGGAGTCACTGGGAGGCGAAAATGTTAATCCTCTTACCTAACTAAAAGATAGGCTATTTGAGTTGTCCACCCAAGGGTGTCAGGGAAGAAACACCTGACCGTCTACTTCTGGAAAAAAAAACCAGCCACCCAAACCCTAGGGAGCATGAGACTACTCTGTCACATGGCGTCTCCATGCGTCACGGGACTGAACTGCAATGGACATCACAATGTGGCTGTCCCTAGAAAGCTAAACTTTGCTTCAAATTAAACATGACCGGGTGGGTAGACTATGCACCGAGGAGAGGGGGAATGAGAGAATTAGGCAATGCCAGGCTCTTGGTCCTCTTCTCTGAGGTTGGCTGACTCGAGGACATGTGGACTACCTGCTGCACTTGTTCCCTCACTCATCACATGATTCATCACGTTTCCTAAGTGCTATGTTTTATGCCAGAGAGAAATTGTGAACCAGACAACTGACATGGTTCTGCCTTCAGGGTACTTAGGATCCAACACAGAAATTGTATCCTCACATATCCAGCAGGAGCAGATGTGACACCTGAAAAGGTGAGGCCGGTGCACACTAGGACAGGCTGGTTCTTTTAAAAATGATTTTAATTTTTGTTGTGGAGCATATACACAGCAGAACACTGAGCATAATAATGTGGTTAAGGTTCATCCACATTGTAGCATGCCTTTTGATGGTTGAGTAATGTTCTTGTCTCAGGAAGATAGATGAGAAGAAATCTCAGCATAGACAATAGCACATGTAGTAAAATAACTAGGAAGTGGTGAGCTTTGCTTTAAATAAAATTTACTTATTTGTAAGTGTAATTCATTTAAGTTTTAAAATAATGTCTGTGTAACCAGCTTGAACAATTCTTGGAAATTTAATAATAGGCCTGTGTACCAAAGGTATATATTTTTAAAATTGCGAAATTTTATATAGCATTTGAGTTTTCCCAGTTAGTTCATGCAAAAATTTTTCTGTAGCATTGATTATAATTTTTGCAGTGTATTAGCAACCCCCCTCCTATATCCCCCGCCCCCCCCAACATTTCCTCCCAGGGCTCCATGTTTCCTGGACCCTCCTTGTCTCTCATCTTTCGTTTTAGAGAACTGTTATATGTTGGTTTTCCTATAGTTGATTGTTCTGCGGAACACATTCTAAGTGTTGTTTTTTACTCCCATCTATTCTTCAGCTAGAAGGTGCCCTCCTGAAATGTCTTCAGTTTCAAGTAGAAGATTTTATCAGGGAAATAATCTTGGAGTTCTTCTAATCTCTTCCTGATAAGTAAATCTAGATGATTTTTGACTTTGAATTCTGTTCTATATATATATATTTTTAATCAATTTATTGGGGCTCATACAATTCATCACAATACATAGATCAATTGTATAAAACACATCTATACATTTGTTGCC